AGAGCGTGCTCGTAATCATAGAATATGGCTACTAGTATGTTGTTATCTCGTTAGTAGTGTTGCAAAATGCTTATTGTTATTACTCGTTATTACCAAGGTTATAAGTAAAACTAAGAAAAACACATTTTAGCCAAAGGTAGCGTAATTCAATCGTGTGCATTTAGATTTGCATACTTTGTAGACAGGAGAGAGTTATGCCTTTCCAGCAACGTTAGTCAGTCAATCAGTCAGATTACAAATTTGTGGTTTTGTGAAATTTTTGTTTTTACTCTACTAACTTTCTCAAGTGCTTTGGTAGCTTGTTACTCTGCAATTGATTTATTTACTACTCAACAGTGTGTGTGTGTGTGTGTTAAGTGCTTATAACGTTTAGATTACATGCTGTTTGAAGTGTGTAAGATTTTGTATTTGTATTGTACGGTTCCTACTATAAGTACTACCGTACTTACGATACATTCAAAAGAATGTTCACCAATTTTAGTATTGTAAACTGCCACGTTACTGTAGGCACTGACAGTTTTTCCACTTTTGACCTCCGGTGGTATAACGGTAAGTTTACGTACGTATAATGCTAAAAGCTGGGGTTCGATTCCCCGCTGTGGATATAGCCGATAGCCCAATGTGGCTTTGCTCTAAAAAAATAAACAACCTATTTTCGATTTCATTTGCCCCCCTCCAGTGCTACAGCGGTAAGTCTGCAGACTTATAACGCTAAATACCGGGTTTCAATACCTGTGATAGACACAGCACAGATAGTCCATTGCGTAGCTTTGGGCTTAACTACAAACAAACAAAAATTATTTTTATTTTCTTGCATCGCATACGTTATAGCAATGTCATCGATAGCTAAACAGATACAGAAACAACCTAAACTGTTCTAACTAAACGCCATCTTGTGGAATGTGTTTAGTTTTATTGGCATCATAACACTCACCAACTAGTTGTAACAGCACATTTATACGGTGTTAGAATGTGTTTAGTTTTACAGATGTCATAATACTCACCAACTAGTTGTACAGCACATTTATACGGTGTTAGAATGTGTTTAGTTTTACAGATGTCATAATACTCACCAACTAGTTGTACAGCACATTTATACGGTGTTAGAATGTGTTTAGTTTCACAGATGTCATAATACTCACCAACTAGTTGTACAGCACATTTATACGGTGTTAGAATGTGTTTAGTTTCACAGATGTCATAATACTC